TCTGGGCTCGGTGGCTCAGCCTGTAATCCCACGCTTTGGGAGGCCGAGATGAGTGGATTGCCTGAGCCTGCGGGTTCAAGACCCGCCTGGGCAACTTGGTGAGACCTCAGCTACAATAAATCAAAAAATTAGCCAGGTGTGGTAGCGTGTGCCTGTAGTTCAAGCTCCTTGGAAGGCTGAGTAGAAGGACCGCTGGAGCCCAGCAAGTCAAGGCTGCAGTGGCAAGGAGCGTGCCACTGCACTCCAGTCTGGGCAACAGAGTGAGGCTTCAACTAAAAAAAAAAAAAAAGAAGCATCCAAGAAAATATGAATTGATACTTTCTTCCTTAAACATTTCTTTGTGCCACAAAGGAGATACATTTTCTATAGTTCTTATAGCAACCACAAGATGCTAAAAAAAAAAAAAATAAATTTTCCTGTTCACTAGAATGATGGCTCAGCACAACTCTGTGAGTACCCCTCCTACTGGGTGACACTCAACAGAGTGATCTGGTGTCTTTTCTCTTTCCTCTCTGGCATCTTTTCTACCTACTCAAAATTCTGTTTAGTATGATACAAATAAGATGAGTAGAAGATACTGCTTGGCCACCTTAGAAATTAAAGTACTCACCTGGGAAGCAATAAAGTGATTTTATCTCTGTAAGGCGTCCCAAGAGAGATGTTTTTGTTTAAAGAACTTCTCACAGAATTGTTAAGAATAGAGACTACGGTAATGTCCTGACCATGCTTGGCAACTTCTGATTTGTTTGATTCAGACATTTATACAAAACCTCAAATAAATGAAAACAAACTGTGCAACCGAGGTCTGGGTGTTTCTTAAAGCACCTCTCACAAACAGCACAGCAGGTAGTAAAAGGTAGAGCAGATGCCATGATAACTCTATGGCAAAATGGCAGTTCTAAAACTATCAGCGTCCACGGCAACAGTTAACAGTGATGCATCCAGACGCAAAGCAAACCGAAGTCAACAACTTGGAAAACTCACTTGGACTGAGCAAGAACCCCTATGACCTCTGCATACAGGTCTGCAATAACATGCACATTCCCCGTGTTGGTTCCTGAATATCTGAAATCATAAGAGAACAAACATATTTCATGTGCTTTTTCTACAAAGTCTTTCTTACTACATTTACAAATTCCTTATCATAGTACTGTATAGCTTTCTCTGAATATTCACTCATAGGATGATAAAAACCATACAAATTTTTATCTAAGTCTAGATTTCAATTTACCATCAAACTTAACCTCTGGTTCTTATAAATCCAATCTATGCCTTTAAGAATTATTTTTTATCAAATAGTCTCTATAAGTCTTTTATGAGGATTCAAAAGATATGGGAAGATAATTACCTTGAACTCTAAAAACAAATGATCAATGAGAAGTCAAATTACATATAAGTAGTCTAAACCTAGATTGCAGAAAAAAGCAAAAATCCCAAGTTAGCATTTTACTTACCCTTCTTTGTGTTTAAAGTGCTTGAAAGCTAAGTTTAGAACTTCATGAACTAAGGGATCAGGTACAGGATGAACAGGAATCTGGAATTTAAAAAACACTATTAAGTAAGAAATAAGCTATCAGTCTTCTATAAGTCTTCTCATCATTTCAACTAATTGACAAATCAATAAGCACATTTAATTTTTATGGAATAATCTATTACTAGCCTGTCATTCTTCTTTTTTTCTGAGAATCTCATTTTCTCTAAGAATTTGGTTACTCATATTTTACAAGCTCTAAATTTAAGACTATTAGCTTCATATTAGCAAATCATAAAATCATAAACTACAAACTTCATGGGGGAAAATGTAGTTGTTACTATAATAGTTACTGTCAGGAAGAATGAAAGATGCTCAGTGAACCTCTGAGCAACACCCACAGAAAAGCCCCTTTGCTGTGAGCCTGCCCCTATTTCATGAAGTCCAATCTTTTATCAGAAACAGTGACCAAAAGGGATGCCATCTTTTTCCATAATCTTAAACTATTTATAGATTATTAAAAATCTGTTATTTAATTCTTTTAAAAGTACATGCTAGTTCCTATTACATAAAACAAATCAAAATATTTAAACCATAAGCAAAATCCCCACCCACCCACATATAATCACTATTAACTACATGGACATACTTCCAGACTCCTTTTTTTTTTTTTTAAGTTGGAGTCTCACTCTGTCGCCCAGACTGGAGTGCAGTGGCTGCTCCCGGCCACTGCAGACTCGACCTGCTGGGCTCCGGCGATCCTTCCGCCTCAGCCTTCCAAGTAGCTGGAACTACAGGTGTGCGCTACCACGCCCGGCTAATTTTGAATTTATTGTAGAGATGAGGGCTCGCCAAGTTGCCCAGGCAGGTCTCGAACCCAAGGGCTCAGGCAATCCACTCACTTCAGCCTCTCAAAGCGTGGGATTACAGGCTGAGCCACCGAGCCCTGCTCAGACTCCTTCTTACAAATACACGTGGTGAAAATCCCTTATTTTAAATGCTTGGGACCCGAGGTGTTTGGATTTGATTTTCTTTGACTTTTGGAATATTTGCATATACATAATGAGATACATTGGGGATGGGACCCACAAAATTCTAATCAAAAAACTCATGTATGTTTCAAGTACACTTTACATACATAGCCTGAAAGGAGTCTTGCACTTTGATGTAACCCATCACATGAAGCCCACTTGTGGTATCATGCTGGTGCTCAAAGAACTTTGGATTTTGGAGCTTTTCAGGTGAAGGATGCTCAACCTGTAAATACAGGGCTTGGTGCTATTCACTACATCTGGGATCAGCTGGGGGCCTGGAACACATCCCCCAAGAAGAAGGGAGATTACTCTGTTCGCTCCAGTTATGCCTGAAGCCTAACGATGACAGCTAAGGACAACACTCAGTCATGCCATGTGCGACACCACTACCACTATCAACACTTCTTGGGTCTGACTGTTAACACTTGTAACAGCCTCGCAAGATAGACATTTGGCCCCGATTCTACAGATGAAAGAACTGAAGCTCAGAGGTTGGTGCATGCATCTCTAGAACATATTATGTCCCAGATCCTGATAGATGAAAATGCATTTAACAGGTGAAATAAGTGAGTGAAGACAACACTGGTATTGTCATATTATGCTAGAAAAGAGAAACAGGGAAGTGAAAGGAGAAATATTCCTTAACTTTAATTTCAATAAAAATGCATACCTTCTGGCAATTTTACTTTAAGAATGCATAATCATTAAGTCCCTATTTCTCCCTTTATTGTCAATAATTAATCTCTCTCTGCTCTGCTTTTCTCTCTCCCTCCCTCAGTTCTTCCACTTTCTCTCTCTCTCCCTCTCTCCTCCCTTTTTCCCCTCCCTCCCTCCTCCCTGTCTCTCCCTCTCACCCCCTCCCTTCCCCTTCTCACCCTCTCTCTCTCAATGAATTCCCAAAAAAGGGAGGAGGAAGGAAACTCATTTCAGATCCTAAAGAAAAAGTCCTACATTCATGGAGCAATATTTCACCTTTAGCACCAAGACTTTTCAGACCTTGTCATTTATGCAATTTTAAAAGCAGCTCTAATTCTGTTTGAACATTCAAGGACATATCTAGTGGAAACTAGAGCATCCTCAAGGCTATCCTCACCACCACCACCCCAATGGCATGCTTTTATCACATTCTGAAGATAAAGGACAAAAACCAGGTTGAGACAGGAGTCCTGGGAGGCGAGGGAGACTCGCCAGTCCGCTAAGTGACCAACCCTTCAGCATCAAGGAGAAAAACAAATTCCCACCTCAGCAGAGGAGCAAGTCTCCCAGTCACGGACCTTACAGGCGTCTCAACACCTAAGGGGGTAGGTAATGTTAAACTTGAAAGTGCTAAGGATGCACTGCACAAATACAGGACATGTTCTCTCCTTCCGACTCTCCACAACAGGCCACAGAAGTATGTCATGGTTCAAGCTGAGCTTCTCGACCACCTCCTCTATTACAGAGTACACAGGTGGCTAAACCTCAACATACAAAGAGTACTGCGGCAAGCTTTCTGGATGCTGTTGCTATGTAAACATGCTTTTATCATGGACCTAAAGCCTTCGGTACTAACATACTAAAATTGTTAGTCAAGCCGGGCTTGGTGGCTCAGCCTGTAATCCCGCGCCTTTGGGAGGCTGAGGTGAGTGGATTGCCTGAGCCCACGGGTTCGAGACCCGCCTGGGCAGCGAGACCTCATCTCTACAATAAATCAAAAAATCAGCCAGGTGTGGTAGCGCATGCCTATAATTCCGGCTACTCGGAAGGCTGAGGCTGAAGGATCGCCGGAGCCCAGCAGGTCGAGGTTGCGGTGGCTGGGAGCGGCCACTGCACTCCAGTCTCGGTGACAGAGTGAGACTCCAACTTTAAAATAAAATAAAATAAAATAAAATAAAATTGTTAGTCAGCTATTATCCCAAAATGATCCTTCTGATTTTCAAGGAAAAATAAAATTATTCCTCTATTACCCAAAATTAATTTTGTTGCCACAGTGAATCACACTATTTAATTTCATCATATTTATGTTAATAAATTCTTTGTCTAACTTGCCATGATGAACTTTCATTCAGTTTTATAAGATACTGGCCATTTCTCCTAATTTCTTAGTACTAATTTTACCAAGGAAAAAAAGTTTATTTATTATTAAAAGGAGAAAACTTAGAGTAAAATTAATGAACTAGCTTTACAATCTTCAGCAAGTCACTACAACTATGAACATTTCCTTATCTGTAAAATGAAAAAAAACAGATAATACTTACTGAATACTTCCCATGCATCAAGCATGACTATGTTTAATTATCATAATTCTATAAAAATGATACCATAACCACACATTTTTATAGAGGAATTAATAGTGGGTAATAACTTGCCCAAACTTACACAGCAAGTAAGACAGTAGGGTTATTAATATTTGCGTGGCCATGTCCCAGGGTTTATTATAACAATCAACTGGCACAAAGGATACAATCCATCATGCATTGAGAAGAGCTCTCTACATGTGTGATTATCATTAAAGTCACAACAAATTAATCAAGGAACAAATAACTGATAATACATGACTAATCTACTCTTCTTCAAGAATGAAACTACCATGTATCATTACTTCAATACTGGGACTGTGTATTTCATCAAAATACAGCTGAATCACATGTTAATATAGCTATATTATGGGGGCGAAAGTGAAAGTCCCATTAAATTCAAGATGTATCGTATCAAGTAGTCTCTGCATCTATTAAACTCCATGCCATTCCAATAGAAGAAAATAGGGTTAGTCTGTCATGTTATTTCAGAAAGCTCTACTGATTTTTACTTAATTTTCTTTATTTTTACTAGCTTCGGAAGCTAAAATGACTTGCCTTCTACTGGGAGGAGATCCTCTATAGGATTTTAGATAAATAAACCATAGCTATGTTCTTGGATATATATATATATGCGCATTTGAATCAAAATGTGAAGATTTTTTGGTTTTTTTTGAGTTAGGGTCTCACTCTGTCACCCAGGCTGGAATGCGGTGGCAGGATCATGACTCACCGTAGCCTTGCCCTCCTGGGTTCAGGTAATCCTTCTGCCCCCATCACCAGAGAAGTTGAGACTACAGGTATGTCACCATACTCGGCTAATTTTTTTACTTTTTGTAGAGATGAGGTCTTGCTATGTTGCCCAGGCTGGTCTCAAACTACTGGTCGCAAGCAATCCTCCCATCTTGGCCCCCCCAAATTGCTGGGATTACAGGTGTTAGTCACTGTTCTTGGCCAAGGTATGAGAATAATAGTAAAAGGGAGCCAGGCTTAGTGGCTCAGCCTGTAATCACGCGCTTTGGGAGGCTGTGAGTGGATTGCCTGAGCCTGCAGATTCGAGACCCGCCTGGGCAACTTGGTGAGACCTCATCTCTACAATAAATCAAAAATTAGGCAGATGTGGCAGCGCGCGCCTATAGTTCCAGCTATTTGGAAGGCTGAGGTGGAAGGATTGCCGGAGCCCAGCAGGTTGAGGCTGCGGTGGCCGGGACCGGCCACTACACTCCAGTCTAGGTGACAGAGTGAGACTCCAACTCAAAAAAAAAATAGTAAAAGGGGAGGGTGGGTAGGAAGGGTACTATAGGTTGGAACAATATGGTGACAGACCAGAGTCAAAGATTAGCTACCAGGACCACAGTATTTCTCTTCCTCACACTTTGAGTCCGTGTGATCCATGGGTCAGAAATGATTTTGTGTAGTGGACTTGAACAATGAGCATAGTGAAAGCAATATTCTTAAGTTTATAGATCCTGTTTTGTTTTGTTTTTCTGACCAGAAGACCCATCTGGATTATTTTAAAAGAGAAAGAAGAGGGGAAGGACTACAATGGTAAGGAGCAGGGGAAGAGAACAGGGAGAATGAGGGGGAAGAGGAGAAAAAAAGCCCTCCAGGGTTGTCTAGGAGTCGAAGCTCTGTGGATAATGCAATTAGAAGCAACTGTCAGACGGGAAGTGGGACTCACTGCTATGGAAAAGACTTCACAAGAAACAGGAGGAAAGGCACATGGAGTCAGAGTGTGGCCCATGGAGGCTGGTGCAAGGAGTCTGTAATTTCTACAGCTGAAGAAACCCTGTACTATTTAACTGGGCAATAGAGCACACATGCCGATTACCAATCCACTCAAATGGCCTCTACTCATCACACAGGAGATGCCGGGGATCAACCTTAGTGTGCAGTGGAGTCAGTCACTGATGGACCATGGCCCCGTCTGGCCCTCAGCTCCTCCTACCAGGCTACTTCTGCCCTAGGGTCTCATATCACCACGAAACCAACAGATCACAGAAATCAAATTTGGCTTGTCAGTTCAACTCCCGAAGGAGAGCTCTGTCCTGGTCAACTAAAATATCTTGGTGAAAGGTACACAGCAAAGTGATTCTACCTAATTATCTATTTAACTAATTATCTATTTTACATATTTTAAATTATTTTAACGTGCAGATTACAGAGTGCTAAGTAACTGTCTTTTCACATTCATTGTAAAGACAAAAGCAAAGTATGAATGATTATATAACTCAATTATTTATACTATGTCAAAAAATTGACTATCAATTAGCTTTTACAACTTATATTTGCTGTTTACTGTCATATATCCCACTTTATATAACACAATAAAACTCTCTGTCCAAACATGTCACATGCAAAACATGATTTTGTTTTTTAGGTTTCCTAAGGTTTTTCAAAATGATGCAATGTTCATGGCTAGAAATAAAAGGGTCATCTGTGAATGGCAAGTAACTTTAAAGACTATGAACTTAAAAAAAAATTTCAAAATCAGGATAGGTATTTGTATGCATATGTCCTGATTTTGAAAAGTAAAAATAAATAAGACAATCCCTGACGTGTTACAAATTCACATCCCTGCTGTCTGCCCTGTTCACTGTAAGCTCGTGGGTAGAGCATCTAACTCTGATACTCATCGACTGAATAAACTATAATAATGCACTATATGAGTATCACTTGGCTGAAAGCCACTTGCACTTGACCATTTGCTCTCCCTATCCAGTTACCCTCATTCCTCAGCCATTTCTGCGCAATGATCACGTGTTAGAAGGCTGGCTTGAGGGCTGAGAAGAAGTTAAGTGGAAGTAAAAACTAGTGGAGGGACAGGTGGCTGCGTTTACAGCTAAGAACCCATCTGGAACACAGTTTCCACTCATCTCCACTTTGCCAACAAGATTTCCTATCCTGGTTGGCACAGTAAGGTAAAAAGAACAGGGGATGACTGGGGGGTGGGGCGGGGGCAGGAAAGCCTCAGGCAGCTGAGAGAAGTGTAACTGAATGAGGGGATTCCGTGTGTGAGCCCAGAGTTTTAGACACGACATCCTAAATAAAGTAACCAAAACAGGAAAGCCTTGGAAATTCAGACTTTACAGAAATAAAAAGAGCTTACCTGCTTGAGAACTTCAACTAAAACTAAACAAAAAATGAAATCTACTGCTAAGTCCCTCCTTTCAAGAAGATAATCTCTTTCACGTTGCTGTTCATCCCTGAAACAAGAACCCATAATTAGCATTGTGTGAAGATGAGAGGTTTTTAAAACATTTACCGGTTAGCAGTTCAAGCTGCTTGCTGTGTTCCTACCATGTACGATATGTCACAGCAGCTGTCCGCATGAAGCTTTTTAACAAGCCCATGTATGCACACGTCCACATGTTCTTTCTCTCTATAACTGGGTGTTTATGCACACACTTCATTATTATATCTGTCAGTAACTAAAACTAATTTATAAGAATTAATAAGAAAAAGAAAAGCATTTTAAATTTCATTTAGAAAAGCCTAGCATTCTTCCACAGTTGATTACTATTGTCTTTTTGTTAAAAACTGAAACAAAATAATAAATTTTCTACATGAAAATATAGTCTAGGCCAGCACAGTGGCTCATGCCTATAATCCCAGCACTTTGGGAGGCTGAGGTGGGAGGATCGCTTGAGCCCAGGAGTTCAAGACTAGTCTGGGCAACATAGCAAGACCTCGTCTCTAAAAAAAAAATTAAAAAGCTAGCCAGGGATGGTGGCTCACGTCTATAGTCCCAACTACTTGGGAGGCTAAAGCAGGAGGACTGCCTGAGCCCAGGAGGTCGAGGCTGTGGTGAGCCATGATTGTGCCACTGCACTCCAAGCTGGGCAACAGAGTGAGACTCTGACTCAAAAAAAAAAAAGAAAAAGAAAAAGAGAGCGTGCGCAAGAGAGAAATGAAAATATAGTATGAGGTAGCTTTCTCACAAATTTAAGTTGAAAATCACAAGTGGCATCCATTGACGTCCAGTAGGAAACCATGGCAGTGGCCTGGACATCAGCTAGCACATGCCATGCCAAGGTCACTGGGGGACATTTATAGGAGAAGCAGATTCCAAGAATCAAGTACCAAGAAGGGCACTGAGTATATCACAAGACAGGGTGCTGGCGACTTTCGGCATCACGACTGCCTCCTTTCAGAACTCAGACAAACAGGATGTTCTTTGACTATTTTCTTTTTTTCTTTCTTTTTTTTTTTTAATCAATATTTTTTATTATGATATTGTGGGGTACAGTTAAGGGTTAGGTATACAAATATGCTTCATTCAGGCACCCTTGTTGATAAGGGGTGTCTCCCCAGACTATTTTCTTAAGTTTGTCTGACTAATAAAGCTCTTCACAGCTGGGCTTGGTGGCTCAGCATTTTGGGAGGCTGAGGCGAGTGGATTGCCTGAGCCCATGGATTTGAGACCAGCCTGGGCAACTTGGTCAGACCTTGTCTCAACAATAAAAAATAAAAAACTAGCCAGGCATGGTAGCGTGCACATGTAGTTCTGGCTACTTGGAAGGTTGAGGTGGAGGGATCACTGGGGTCCAGCAGGCCGACACTGGGGTGGCTATGAGCACGCCACTGCACTCCAGTCCAGGCAACAGAGTGAGACTTTGACTCAAAAAAAGCCCACAGGTTCAAGACTAGCCCAGGTAACTTGGCGAGACCTCATCTCTACAACCTAAAAAAAAATCTCCTCACAGAACTACTGAAATGGCCCTCCTGAGACCAATCTCTGCACAGTACCCAGTGCTCAGCCCTGCAGGGCTACACCTTGCTCATCTGGCACCTTCTCTTGAGCTAGTGTGGATGGCCACCCCCTTATTCCTACCTTCATCACAAAAGTCATTGATGCCTTTGGCTTAGGAACTGAGCCAAAAAACTTGAAAAACTTGATGCCTTTGGCTCTACAACAAGAACAGTCTTCCTTGGACAACACGGCCACCCCTTCTCCGAAAGTGTTTCCACTCTGGGTAAAGCAGTGAGAGATAGAGCACTTACCCCTTGGACTTGGTGCTAGAGCGAGGCCTATACTCGTAAGACTCGTCTTCAGTTCCATTTTGGCGTCTGTACCAGTCAAACAAGGTGCGAAGCAGGGAAGGGAGGCAGTGCTCGGCAACGGAGCTCATGGAGCTTATCAGCTGGAAGCACAGACAGGGCCAGAGAGTGAGTGCCACACTGCATCACGCTCGAGTCTACCAGCACTCACAGAAGTGAAAAAACACAGTAACTCAAGTGTACCAATGTGCTTTTAAATAGAATAAGGGTCTAGGAATGAAGTAAAGCTTCAGGAGTGAAGTAAAGTTAGCCAGGTTTCACCCACTATTAAACTTGAGTCAAATCCATGCAGTTTAGCTCACCCTTCTCCTGTCTCCACTTGCCACTTACACACACAAAAGAATGGCCATAAGGAGCATCCCTGATCATACAGGGATACCTCTGTGTGAGAACTATTACAAACAACAAGAAAAGACCATGTCTGCTTCCCAGTCGGCAACTCCTCTGGGCTCGTGTGGATGAAATGAATAAAATATTTAACTGTAGAAAGAGAAGACTACACCGTGAGAGTTGGGGAAAGCTCTGACTGTGCTGTGACACACAGAAGAGAGAACTGCTCTCATCTCTACACATTAGTATGTTGGAAGTGTGTTGTGAATACACCTTTAAGGCTTAGAATATTATTTGTATGCGCCATACAACATAAAAATAAGCGTAGTGTGATGAACAGCTGTCACTTAATTCAAGGCATCCTTGAAACTATTCGAATTCTAGAATCACGGATTCATTTCATGAATGAATCTAGCTCACCCAGACAGGCTACCCTCAGCAGTGCCCATAGCCACCCTTCATCTTCAGAATCCCAAGAAAAAGGCTTTCTCCAGAAGAATTTCTCTAATTCAACCCATTGCTACTAAAAGCTAATTTAAAATCTGCATATAATCTAACATATTTTACTTTGTTGACTTATTTGAATAACTATGGATTGCAGGGACATTCAAGGTCTCTTTCAGTTTCATGACTACAGGAGGAGTCATGAAGATAAACTGACATCTCTAGGAATCAAGCATGTAATTTTCCTGTTTCTCACATTCTGCATATAACTTACAAATGGATTTTACCCAGGAAAACAGAAAAGAGTGAAACAGTCCACTTGATTCTGTGGGCTGTTCTCTCTTTCATTACGCGACCTTCCTCCAATCATCTTTCATTGTAAATTACCGTAATTTGACAGATAGTTTCTAATATAGAAAATTAAAGTTAAAGAAGATTCTCATTTTATTTAATCATGCTTTTTAAAAATTTACCTCTTATTAGCAATAAGCAGTATCAAAGAAAATCTCTTTTAATATCTAAAGAAGGAACAATAAAAACACGATCTGCTACTATAAATATATACCAAAACAGTTTACATTGCCCTTAGCTTTTCATTGTAAGACCAAAAGAAAAAAAAAAAATCAAGCTATGAGGCATGATATTCATAGTTTTTATTAATTATTTAGATAAGATAAATACAAATTTTATTTAAAATACTCTTTAGTCAGATTTCAAATTCCAATTACCCACCAATTAAAAGTAGATTCAAGATGTAAATAATCTAAATAACTATTTTTTTTTTTTTTTTTTTGAGTTGGAGTCTCACTCTGTCGCCCAGACTGGAGTGCAGTGGCCGCTCCCAGCCACCGCAACCTCGACCTGCTGGGCTCTGGCGATCCTTCCGCCGTCAGCCTTCCAAGTAGCCGGAATTACAGCGTGTGCTACCATGCCCAGCTGATTTTTTGATTTATTG